AATACTACTAACAGTATCACACATATACATGTGGGTTACAACAGGAATGAACTTGCACTGAGAAAATTTAATAGGTGGCTCCGCATAATAAGTGTTCACAAGAACTAAAGTATTTGACTGAACAGCTGCAACAGAGTGGAGATTATTTCAAAATAAATACAATAATCGCTATCTATAAAAATAAATATGTTTTATTCTATTGATTCTATATTGTTATATTATGAGGAAAACTTCAATTAGGACAGAATAAATTCTCCTTTTTGGAATTTATTTGGATCTGTACTTGATGTAATTTTTCCATTGTGATCCCAGTAATGAGTTGAATAACAAGCTTGTCCATTCATCTTCAGCTCTGGGAACAAAATTCTTTGTCATCTTGTCTGGAAAAACAAACGGAGCTCATCAGCCCATAGTTAAAAAGCTGGAAGATATCGGCCAAACTGAGGTAGACTCGTTTGAACAATGTGACTACCTCCTGGTTTTCTGTCCAATCGCATCCCGCGTTGGAACCGACATCAACGAGACCCTCAGCAAAATATCAGGTCAGGTACAGCTTCGTCTTTTTTATACTCAAGTTATCTAAGCTTTGGGCTATAATTTGTGAGAGACAGATGAAGAAATATGAAGAGAGAGACCGAGATGAATGAAGCTGAAGTGAGAGAGCTGTAGGAAACTGAAGAGACAGAGAGCTAAAGAGAGACAAAACCGACGGCAGCTGAAGAGAGAGTGTCTGACTGGCACTACAGATTTAGAAACATTGAGAAGATTTACACTTGTTTATTAAAACTGGATAATGCAACATCTGGTCAATGCAACAGGAAGCTTCTGCACCAACATTTCTAACCCACTGGCCTCCCTTCTCCATTGCAGACGTCAAAAAAGCCATTCTGGTGGTCATGCATCACACCTTCAATCCCAGCCTCATTGTAGCCGACAGCAGGAGACAAGTGCAGAAGCCCAACATCCTCCTGACTGTGGACTGTCTGTTTTATGAGGGCAAACTTCTCAAATGCAACCGCAACAATAACTCAATGACCGACATCGAAAGGGTTGTTGGAACGCCTGTTTCTTGGATAACTGTTAAGGTTTGTTGGTCTGATCGTTATGACAATCAAATTATTTTGGAATAGGAATTATTATTTAAGCTTCATTGTGGTCATAATTATTGTTCTCCATTTCAGAACGCTGGCTGGAAAAACATCCTTAATAGTAAGTGAAACATTTTTGATTTTCTTAAATAATCTTTTATTCTTCTGTACTGCGATATAATTCATCCTGGGAGGTGATACTATCGTAGCATTGCACAGATATTTAATTTAAAGTGGTTTATGTTTAACTTTAAATGATGTTTTTTAGTGGTTGCCTGTTAAATGCTTGAGGAATGACACTTTCATTTGTGACCGTTTGTGTTGTGCTTTTTTTCTCTTAGGGTTAAAGATTCCTCTCCTCATCTGTTCAGTTATTTTGATTGTTTTATTGCCAGTAATTATTTGGAGAATTTCTGCTACTTTAACTTAAGAAGTTCAGTTAAACTGGCTGGAAAAAACAACACAAATCAATCAAATCTTTGAAAAATCAGCTTTGTTGTGTTTTGTAAAAGTTTGTCTTGTTCACACTGACGCCTAAAAACCAACATAACATGAACATCAGTTCTGTTTTGAAAAATCTTTTTTTGTTGTTGATTTGCAAAGAAGGTTTTATGTTCCTGTTATTCTGTTTTTTTTTATGGATTTTTCCAAATTTTAAAATTATTTACTATTTATTTTTCTAGTATATTCCTGACTCTTGTATTTTCCATCAGTCCTAATAATTTAAGCGAATATATCAGTTTCTGACGAAGATATTTACCACTGGACAGATGCAGTAGGTCAGTGTCCCTGCTTCCAGGGACCTGGAGAAGGTAGAGCTGAGTATAACAGATAAGATGCAGCAGAGTGACTGTTTAGCTCCACTAGCAAGAAAAGAAGATATCTGGATTACTGCCTTCATCTAACGACAGAGAGACACTGCAGAAAAAGAAATGTGGAGCTGAAAGCTACCGAAGAAACTGAAGGCTGAGTCTCTGATTGTGGAGGATGAAAGACAATGGATGTATTGATGGAGGTATGAGGATGACGTCTTTTGCACCAAATGTTTGGATCAATAGAGACAACAAAGTGAATGTAAGAGGTCTTTAATTGCATTTCATAAAATAAAAATTAAGCACTTTTTCTTAACTATCTAATGAGAATATTTCTTGGTATTTGTGCAAGACAGCGAAAAATCTACACTCACAAACTTCTTTTTGCATTTTTTTCTGTGACGTTCATAGATATATCTATCTAGACAAGTCTTTCTTGGTTTCTCCTCCAGATTGTTGAGTCAGAATGCGCCGTTACCTAGCAACCTCATCTGAGCGTTACCATCACCTAGCAACCGGAAAGGGGCTCCAGCTGGTTTTACCGCCGTTTAAAGACAAGTGTTTTGTTGTTGACTTCCCATCCAGGAAACTCCTGCTGCATTTTTGTTGGCTGTGCAGAAGGCTCCACTTCTGCTTTTCAAAGATATATGGCTGAGTAATTTTGCATCTCTTTGCAGGCATTTTCATTTTACTTTTCTTTTTGCTCTTTTTCTTTCACTGTCTTTGTCTTTTCTCTCTTATTTAAGCCATCGCAGCCATTTTCACATGCAGGTATAAACACTGAGTTAGGTCAGCAGCAGCAGGTTATTTGGATTTAAAGTGACAGAGGCCCTAAGACAGCTCATCCTGAAAGGAGCTGAAAATATGCAGAAACTATCAGATTAAAATCTCATCGTCTAAGAATGATTTTCTACATAAAATTGTAATGAACATGTTTTGTATATCCAATAGATTTATCCAAACCTGTTCATGGAAGCATGATAGGTCTCTTTTGAACCGTCTGTTTATTTTCTTAACCATGACGGCATTGAAATCTATTTCACTTTGCTTCCAGTTTCTACTCCACAATCTGAGCTCTGCTGTGCTCACCAGTTGATGACAGCCCTGCATGCAGCAGAGGAGGTCTGGTCTGCTGCAGAGTGATTAGTGGGGTCACACCTCTGGCCTTAAAAGGCAAAGCAGAATACCAACAGCAGAAGCCCCCTCTAAAAATATCCCTGGCTCTGAACGCCACGTCAATGTAACAGCACCAGTTAGGTTCACAGTTTCTCAGCTGGCAGCTGGATTTTTCCATCAAACTCATGGAAAAAATGTTGCATTAAAAGATATTAACACGCTGGACACCTTGTGGTCACATGGTGCAGCAACGTGGCCGGTGGGGTGAAGTTACCTCTCTTCACTTCTGCCTTTTGTTTGGGTCACTGCAGCGGTCCCAGTGGTCAGTCTAATTCTGTCTGAGCAGAGGAGGGGGTGGAGGAGGGGTATTGCTGTATCTGCAATCCCAGGCCCAACCTGCCAAAGGGCAAAGACAGCGACTGTCTAAACTTGGTCTCTGTCTCTCCAGCCTTTTCCTCTTGGGAAGCATTAAAGACAAACATTAGAAAATAATTTGACTTTTTGGCTGTCTGATAAAAGAAAGGAAGTTCTAATTTACAAACAAGAGTCTTGCTTAAGAGTTTTTCACGCTGAAGTACCCAGTAGGATTAAATCGTTCAGAGGAGTGAGGAAAATCCTGATGTTTTGTCTTCATGGAAACAATCTGCTGAAGGACTGAAGCCTTTTCAGAAGGATTTTAATTCTGGAAGTATGACTGAAGCAGCTGAAGGTAAAGTTTTATCTCATTTTAAACATCTACCTTCTGTTTCACTCTTGCAAAAGTTTTGCTGTTTTGTAAATTAAACTAGGGGTGTCCAAACTGTGGCCCAGGGGCCATTTGTGGCCCCAACTGCACTTCAAGACTGATACAAACTTGCTTATTAAACTTTATATTTTTAATCAGGGTAAAATTATTGATGAACATAATGTTAAGTACAACAAAGTATTAGGTTTTTTTTTATAACCAAGCTTTTATAATAATTAGAACCAGGTTTATTTTACTTTTACTGCAAAGCTGACTTTACTTCACCTAAATCTATTAAGCTTGGTTAAATAAAGAAGGAAAATTGAAAGAAAGTGACACAAATTCTGTTCTTATAACTGAGAATAAACTTAAGAGATCCTAAAAGGATTTTAAAGTTAAATGTCTTTCTTTTAATAAAACAAACTTGCGAAATCCTTCATTTTTTGATCAACAATCCAACAACACCAAAAACATTGGGCTACTTCCTTTGCTTATTTTTAGTTTATATATCGTTACGTTCTTGATCTGTAAATACTTTTAATTCAACAATTTTGGCCCACATGACAGAAATGTTTGGACGCTCCTGTAATAAACTCTTTAATTTAAAGTGTTTATAAATAAGCAGCTTGCAGCTCTTCGTAGATCTGAGACGTTTCTGAGACTCAGTCACTATCAACACTGACTCTGCTGTCGCCCATAATCATGTCACCTGATACTGCATGACGTTACTTTTTCTTATTTTACCAGATTGATGGATAGTAGTCAATTAAACTTATTTGTGAAACTAGAGTTCACTCCTGTCTGCAGATCTCAAATTAGTGCAATAAGCCTTAAAATACTATCGTAAATTAATAAATAAGAAAAATCCAACCTTTGAGTAAGTACATTTATTGGTGGTCAAAAGAGACCCAAAATTAAGAATTACATGCTCAGCAGTGAGATATTTAATCTACTCATCAATTCTTATTAAATATTATGAAAGTATTTCTTTAATTACTCTTTCAGTTTTTATTGTTGTTCCGCTAACATAGCCATGTGTGAACCTTTGCCAACATGCTTTGGAGAAGAAGTGTGATTACCAAAACATGGCTGCAGACTTCCTGTTTGAAAATGGATTTCTTCACTTTTATCACATCATAGCACAAAATAAGTCAGGCTCACTTGAAGCTTATATTCAAATTTTACTCTGAATTCCTACCAGAAACGCCAATATATGAGAAGTTTTCTTTTAAGTTTCCAATTTCACTGCTTGATCAGATGATTACATTATATCTGTATCATTACAAACTAACTAACTGGATCTTGGTGATGAACTACAAAGCAAAGACTCCTGGGATAACTGTAAGTCAAGAAGCATTTAAATTTATATTTTTGCTATAAATGTTACAAAACTGCAAAAATAATGGCTCTCATTAGACTGGATTACAAGTTGAAATTTAAAGATTTCTCTGCATTGGTTTTTAATTGCAGCTGGAGAAGCTGAAGCTGACTTTTCAGACTTGCAGCTGTAGACCTTGAATTTTATTTATTTAAAAATGTATCTTAATAAATTGTACTTCCAGATAACTGATTAAATTTGAACTCAAACTGGAAATTAACATGCGCTGAAATTTTTCTTCCTCATATCTCAAAAACTTAAATATTATCTGAAGTTTTTAAAGCAACATTTAAGTTTCAAAGAGTTGATAGATCAATTTTTGGGTGAAAAACAAAGAATGTCTGACAGAAAATAATAAACCTAATATTTTATCCCAGACTAAAGCATGGGTTTTTCCTCACAAAGATTAATAATATTGATATAAATAGATAAACCAGTTTTTAGTCTTTATTTATTTAGAACATAGCAATGCATTTTGTTGCTTTTATAGTAATATTTTACAGATTCCTCAGGCTTTCTTTGACAACACTCTGCAGACAACCTTAGCTAAGCTTCAACAGATACCTGGTAGGAGTGTAGAAACCGTAGATGGAGACAGGTCAGCTGTAAACTAGAGGATTCATGTGTGGATGACTGAACAAGCCTTTTAAAGCAGGTTTCAGAGACTGGTGCTTATCCAAGCTTGCATGATAAGGCCACAGGTTAAGAGGTCATCTGAAAACTAAAACATTGATGTCAGGAAGGCTGTTTCTGAAAGCTCAAGAAGAGGAATTACAGAAAAAATTTAATCCAGAGCTTCGTTTTGCCAAATAGAAGATTAACCCTTGTGCATGTGAGGACTGAGGCAAACGTAGAGGTCTATGGAAAATGATGCAGGTTTTACGTGTGTGGGGTCAGTTGGACCCCATTTCGACATACAAGGGTTAAGTGATATTATTTGAAATACTTTGCTGTAGTGAAGTTCGACTGGAATAAAGTTTCTGCAGGTTTCAGAAAGTCAAATTTAAGACGTTTTTTTAATGCCGCCTTGAATGAAATTTAAATGTTTTTTTTTTTCCTTTTTGTTGCACTGCATGCTCCTTGCTTCATATGGTTTTGTCAACGTAAGTGAGCCAGCAGCAAAAACAAATGTCTTCCAGCCGAGTGGCCATAAAGTTGCACTTACTCATGATTCTGTTTTACTTTGATCTAAATGTAGAGACCTATCAGCACCTTGTCAATATCTCAACCAGTCACACTGATAATCACATTGAAACAAGCCTTAAATTATTTCCTGTCATGGTTGTAGAAGAACACAAAAATGATGAGATATATACTATTGATGAAAAAAAATACAAATACAGTAGTATGAGGGGAAAACTGCATTGGAACACCAGGAGTAAAACAAACCAACACAGACTGAAAGAAAATGAGCAGCTTTAGTACTATGGAGCTTGATTGCTGGATCATGAACACATGACTGATTGTAAACAAGGTTCAGCTGTGAGGAGAGACCAGGCAGGCAGACTGAGGGAGAGAGAGACGGCAAGAGAGGAGCAGGGAGTAAACAATGAGCAAACAGAAATAAATAAATAAACAAACAAACAAACAAACAAACAAACAAATAAATAAAAAAAAAAATACAATTTTGGTAATAATTTAAAAAAAAAATAAATTATACTGCAAAACTTTCTTACTCGTCTTCCGTATCACACATATGGAGTTAAATAACATCCCAGCATCATGTTTAACATCATGTTTAATATGATCCTGGTCCATCCTTTGCATTAATAACAGCTTTAACTCTTCTAGAAAATCTCTCACCAAGGTCTAGCAGTATATTCACAGGAATTTCTGATAATTCTTCGAGAAGCACATTTGTGAGGTCAGACACCGATGCTGGACAGAAAGGTCAAAAAAGTGAGATTATCTCCCATTAGATACATCCAGACATTTTTTAAGTCTTATTGCATGGCTGTTTCATATTTTGTGTTACATGTATGCTGTCATGTCTTAATTACTATATATTTATGTATTATTCATAGTCCAGTGTTGATGTTTGAAGCAGGATTGCACAGCTGAGAGTCAGAGTGCATCTTGTCTTTTATTAGCTCCACATTTTCATTATAAAACACATTTTACCTTCTATGTGCAGTGTTTTCTAGAGCCAGTTTTCTTAATTATATTTTTGTATGCGTTTATATCGCTATCTTTACAAAATAAAGATTGATGATTGATTGATTTATTAATTGTGGGAGGGTCCATCCACAAAACACTGGCCTCACATGCTGTAGCTGGTATCCAGACTGGATCTGTGGGAATGGGAGCGGAGGGTGGATTGTGGTTTGTGTTCAGAGCTGCTAAGCTTTCTTAGTCAGCAGTAATGAAGAAGCTTGCAGTCGCCGCCAGCAGTGAGCTGAGGAGAGTCAACAGGTGGTTTCAGCTCGTCTGACAGACACACAGCAGCGTAAACGACTGACTGGGATGCCGCCATGAAGCCAAGGTCCATTTTTCAGGAGCGAAAATTCAAATGAAGGATGTCTAGCTGATGAATACAACACAGGGAAACCACAACGGCCCAATCCTTGGTCCTCTAACGTTTTCCCTAATTAGATAAAAAAAAAAAAAACAAAGAAAACCAAAACTAAACAAAAAAATACAGCTAGAAGAAAATGGGAATTAAAGTGAAGCACAATGTAAAATACTGAAAAACCAGGTTTGCAAGAAAAAAACCCCATTGCACCCAAGAGTTCATTTTATGACAGATTATACAATCAATGCTAAGAAAATTAAAATAGTTAATTTCAAAGAATAAAGCCATAATATTATGAAAATAAAGTTATTACAGAAAAACATTCTGAATATAATGATTTTATTCTGGTGATATTGTCTTTATTATTGAAATATTATGACTTCATTCTCATAATTTATTATGATTTCAGCCTAGTATTATTTTTGACTTTATTCTCAATATTACTTATTTTTTTATTTTATTAGTATGACCCTAATAATTTGTTGTACATAGATAATAGATTGGATTTTTAAAAAACAGTCAAACATATGGCAATAGCAAAATCTGTCATGGTGTGCAAATACAGAGTCATGAAAAACCAAAGTTTTTAATGTGAATAAATAATATAACTTACATGGAATAACTGGGTGGACACAGATGAGGAGCAAAGGTCAGGAAACTGACAGGAAAACAAGGAAAGATGGAGAAACCATGGAGAACGATGCAGACTTTTGTTACAACAGGGATCAGAATAAGAGAATAAAATCACTCCTAGGTTTTTTTCTGTACATTTTGTCTGATGTGATCGAGCAGATATTTTTGGTTTTATGTTTTTATTTTTTGATTTGACCATGTTTTGTCTTTTTCTTTAGCTCGCTCGTCAGTGACAACCACCATGGTCATTGACGGGAAGGCCGTGGAGGCCGGCTCGACGACTCTCCGGTCATCGAAGAAAACTTTGACAGATGACCTCTACTCCACGTTCAGCTCCCCTCTGGCCTGGATCCTGGTTCTGGCACTAATCATCACCTGGACATGCGTGTTCATTATTATGTTTGATGTGGCTGACTATAAGACCATTGCTGGTAAAAGAAGAATGGTTAATATTTGGTCAATTATGATGTTGAACTTATTGAATATGTCTTTGTTATTTGATGCTCTGTGGTTCATCTGTTATTTTAAGTTTAGTGTTTTAGAGATTTACTTATGTTTGTTTCCAGTTTGACTTCACGTTTTGTAGAAACTGTTGTTTTGCACTTCAAATTAGATTAAAGCAATTTTAAAAAATGGATAAAGCCACTTTACAATTATTGCATTTACAAATATATTAGTTATAAGCACTTATGTTTGGAATTACGTGAACATGTATTTTATTTGGGTATAAAGGAAGAAATAAATATTTTCTTTTAGTTTTTATTGTATGTTTTATAAAGTATCCTTAATTTTTGCTAACTTCAGGGAAAAACTTCAGAAAAATTTCACCTGGGAAATTTTCCTCAATTTCATCATATTAAATAATTTGCAGTGTCTCTGCATTGTTTAATTTAATTGAATAGTAAATGAATAATATTATTCAAATAACATGATTTGAATTACCATGTTATAACATATTCTAACTCTACCACTGAAAATCTCTCGTCATTCATCTCTAACAGAAAGACTCACAAGAAACTGACTTTGGTTAGTTATCTTATTTCTTTTTAATTTATACTGACAGCGTGATGCAAATTAATGGACACTATAATAATATTTGTAAAAGGTGTAACAATCAGTTTTATTATTGAAAAAGACTGGATGCATGTAAAACTTCACCCATCATGTTGTTTTTTTCTTTCCTTTCTCACTAAAAGTTTTTACTCATCACTGTTTTTCATCCAACCAGATCGGCCTCCTGCTGGGATCAGGAAGGTTTTAAAGAGTTCAGGGCGCAGAGGCAAGACTTCCCACCTGCAGCTAACTTAGCAGATCCTTCATGCTTCTTCTAAAACTACTAATGGCTTCATATAACAGCAAAACATAGCTGCTCACAGATTAGTCTCTGTGTTTAAAAGAAGATGCATTTACAAGCAATTTCTGGTGCGTTAGCCACATTCTGGATGTTTAGCTTCAGTGAGAGAAATGAATATTTGATTCTGTCCTGATTTTGTGCATTTGCTCACATACAAAGAAATGAACAGTCTCTAGTTATTGTGGTAGTGAGTTTTAATTTAGAGACAGAATAAAACCGCTCCAAAAGAAGGAAGCGGACTGTAGCGCAAGGCATTATGGGTAAATACAACCAAAACAAATGCTAGAGCCTAAAGCTAACATGAGAAATGGCTTGTTGTCTTTTTGCTAGACAAAAAAGAAATCCTACAACCGCTAAAATCTGACGCCAGTCCAACTTTTATTTTCATTTTGTGAATCAGGCAGTTCCTCAGTGTCTTCTTTAGAGGTTTTCATGGTTCAGTGGTTCTTGGTGCAGCGCCACCACAGGTGAGGAGGGGAACAGATTTTTCAACTATAATAATAGCATAGTAATTATTGACTGTTCATTAGTTTGTAAGTTTGCAAAACTACTGAATGATAATTTGTACAGTCATGATTATTTTTAATGGTTCTGTAGAGGGAGGAGTACATTGACTGCATTGTTTTCTGATGTTTGTAGTTTATTTCCTGAACTTTTCTGGTTCAAACATTCACAAAACCCATCAGTGAAGTTTGATCTGAAAAAGAAACTATGGGTTTTTGAAATGATTGAACTTCAGATGAGCTTGATTCCAATTAGTTGCATTAATTATTGATTTCTGATTAGGCTAATCGAGCTCCTCTGAAATCCCTGTTATATATAAAGCAGCTTCCGGCTGAAGCTGATGGCTGAGGATCTGGAGGATTTCTGAAATGCTTCTTCATGCAGCATTATGGTGGAATGTGTCCTGAGGAGGTCAAACTGGAAGATGGGTTTCCTTTACCTCCTGTGATGTTTTTGGATCAATTTCTTAAAAGTTCTTGCTGCCGCACTTTCAGTTTAACCCCTCAAGTGGAACTTGAAGAAAATATTGTTTATACAGAAACTCTTATTGTTTGAAATTATTCAGTTTAGTTGCAATGCTGATGAATATAAACTCAAATATTTGTGTTCTTTGCCTTGTTGACCTCTGTGCTCCACCAGGAGGCCTCAGTAAGTTCGGTTCAGATCCTGTGAAGGTGGTGAACGATGCCGTGGACGAATCAACAAACATTATTAGTGCCGTGTTCAGTTTCGCTGCGAACCTCATTGCTCCGGATGAAGACGAAGGTACACTGAGTTCTTCACACACATTACACATCACATTTTAATAAAAATAGGAATTATATTTTATAGTATTCAAGCATGTTTGAAAGAGTGATTATATTATATATATATATATATATATATATATATATATATATATATATATATATATATATATATAATATATTATATATAATACATTATATATATTATTATATATTATATATATATTATATATTATTTTTTGATCAAATTTTCAACACATTCATGTACATATTTTTTATCTTTCTCTGCAGGAACGCTGTATGCAGTGAGGAAAAAAGGTTTGTACAGCAGCAGCTTCATACAGTCATGCTTCCTCAATCTTATGCCAAATTTCACCTTCTATGTTAATTTTTTGTGTGTAGCACAAACAAATGGAAAATCTACTTCAATTCAATATTTTTAAACTGTTTGAGTAAGAATTTCCTAAAAGGAGGGGGTTAGCAGCAGATTTGGATTTTAAAATAATTTTTATGAAATCACAATATCAATATATGTTTTTGTAAAGTTTTATTGAAAAATGGAATGTGGCAAATTATAAATGGAATTTTTTTTTGATGGTATCTCAGAAATCAGCAGATTTCTGCATGTTTTCATTGATTTATAATTTATTTTTGGTGATGGACTCGACGCCTTTTTGCTTGGAAGGCCTCCCTGCCATCACCCTAATCTAATCTTTAGCTTCTAGAAAGATCTGGTATCAGATTCAAGTCTGGAAGAAACATGGTAAAATTAAGATTAAAATTGGGGTTAGCTTCTTGAGATTAAAATCTAATATAGTTGGAGAAGTACAGGAAAACATTCACATCTGGGATCCAAAAATGTCAGTTTCTGCCCGACGAAAATACGGTGAAACAACTTGTAGCTTAAATAATTTACACAAAAATGTTAATATAACATTACAACATGACAGCAGAAGGCTGTAAGCCATGGATGAGTTTTTGACTGTTGTGTTTATATAATTTGATTTGCAGCAAGTATAAAGTTTGGAGACACTGTATCAGGTTAAATTGGGCAGAATAGTTTTTACATCTAAGCTTCTTTTATTTATGAACCATCTAAAAGAGTAAAGATGGTTGGATGAGGAGGAGGAGGAGGAGGAGGAGGAAGGTCAGGTGAAGAGTAAGAAACCAAAAGGTATTTGAGTTTTTGGGTGGGTGAAGTTTGGATTCTGCCATAACAACCAACTAATGGAGATAAAAACAGGAGATTCTTCTTCTTCTTCTTTCCTTTAATAGTTGTGCTTTTTCATCCCTGGTCATTATTAACTAGACACTTAATATTTCCCTCTAAAATGTTTCAATTAATTAGATTTAGAATGCAACATGTGAAAAAGTATCTACACTTTGACTTCATTGTTTCAGTTTCTCACTTGACTTATAAAATATTTTTATTTGCTTTTTTAGGAGAATTTTTACCGCCAAGAAGTAAAGGTACGTTCTCTGATTGCATTTCATCATTTTACCTGAATAAACAAACGTCATCATCTGAAACACCTGCACTGACACAAAAAGGAACCAAAATTAAAGACATTTTACAAACTTCCATCAAACTTCTGTAATTGTTTAAGTTGTTGTTGTTATTCTAATGACATATCAGTTAAATTTCATGATGTGGACTTGATTTTCTTTCAACATCCTCATAAAAATTCAACCTGAGGTGCTGCTATTATTTCTATCCTTTGATTTCATTAAATTAGTCTTCAAGAATTTTCCAGGAGATATAGTTTTGATTTCTGCTTTTAATGTATTATTATTATTATTATTATTATTATTATACCTTATGCATTTTTGCAGTTATAGGAATGCAAGTTGAGACAAAACTAGAAACGACAGAAGAAGCAGCAAAGGAAGAGGAAGA